AGGGGCCACTCACAGCTATATTAGTAGGAAAGCGCTGCAGAAGTTGAGGTTGGGACTTAAAGTCCAGAAACTGACAGACCCCATAGTTAGTATCCTCGCGGACAATCGTACTATGATTGTAGAGGATTACATAGAGGGAGTCCAGGCATATTTCCGCCTAGAGAAAGATGGGAAAGTGGAGAAGGTCCTCCACTCCCTGACTCTCCTCGTAGAAGACAGCCTCCCATTTGATATTGTCTTGGGAATGGATTGGGGAGAGGCAGCCGGGGCGACGCTCCATCTGAAGGAGCACGAGTGTAGGCTCCCTAGTTCCTCAGGCGAGGCTAAGACTGCTCACCTATTCCATGTGTCAGGGGTAGAGAATTCCTTGGTGCATTGCTGCCTGAGTGCCCCCGCGTTCGCCAGATTAGTGAAGAAGGAGAAATTGAATGAGCAGGTCTTTGTTGCCTATGTGAGGCCAGTGACTGAGCCTACGGAAGAAAAACCGATGGACCTTGCAATTGCCAAGCTGCTGGAAGAGTTCAAGGACCTAACCGAGCCGCCGATAGGAGTGGTACCGCGGCCCATCCAGCACCGTATTGAGATAGAGCCTGGCAATAGGACTCCTAAGGGCGCTGTATATAGGATGTCCCCACGGGAGTTAGAGGAGCTTCGCAAGCAGTTAGACGAGCTCCTCGAGAAGGGTTGGATTAGACCCAGTTCGTCCCCTTTCGGAGCGCGTGTTCTCTTTGTTCCTAAGAAAGAGGGAGAGCTGAGAATGTGCATAGACTATAGGGGTCTGAATGCTATTACAGTGAAGAATGCTGAGCCACTGTCGAGGATAGACGATCTCTTAGATCAAGTGCAGGGGGGCAAATATTTCTCTAAGGTAGATTTAAAGTCCGGATATTATCAAATAGAGGTACATCCTGATGATCAGTATAAGACAGCTTTCCGGACTAGGTACGGGCATTATGAGTTTATAGTGATGCCCTTTGGACTAACCACCGCGCCAGCTACGTTCCAGCGCTGTATGAATGATTTGTTTAGGCCATGGTTAGACAGATTTGTCGCAGTTTATCTAGATGACATTCTCGTGTTTAGTAGGACCCTCGAAGAGCACCAAGGTCATCTCAGGCAGGTCTTGGAGAAGCTGAGGGAAGCTAACTTCAAGATCAATGCAAAGAAGTGCGATTGGGCGAAGACCTAAGTTTTGTATCTACGCCACGTCTTAGACGGAGATGGCGTTAAGCCAGAGGATAGCAAGATCGCATCGATTAGAGATTGGCCCACGCCACGTACGTTGACAGAGTTGCGCTCGTTCCTGGGCTTAGCTAATTACTACAGGAAGTTCGTGAGGAACTTCTCCACCATCGCTGCGCCCCTTCGCAGATTGTTGAGGAAGGAGACCATCTGGAAGTGGGATAAGGACTGCACATCTGCCATGAAGAAGTTAAAGCAGGCATTAATAGAGTATCCAGTCCTTAAAGTTGCCGATCCGTCCTTGCCTTTTGTCGTTTCTACGGATGCTAGCCAGTACGGCATAGGCGCAGTGTTACAGCAAGACGATGGCAATGGCTATAGACCCGTGGAGTTCATGTCCGCCAGGATGCCTTCAGAGAAGGTCGCGACATCTACCTACGAGAGGGAACTCTCCGCTCTCAGGCAAGCGTTAGACCACTGGAAGCACTACTTGCTTGGGAGGCACTTCAAAGTCTATTCTGACCATGAAACATTACGATGGTTAAAGACGCAGGCCAAGATGACACCTAAGCTTACTAGGTGGGCCGCAGAGATAGATCATTACGACTTTGAGCTCAAGCCTGTCAAAGGGAAGTACAACGTAGTTGCGGATGCTCTGAGTAGAAGAGCTGATTATTTTGGGGCAATAGTACATT